CCCGAGCCCCCCGGCCCCACACCCACCTGCTGCCGTGGATGAGGAGGGGCTGGGAGCGCCTGAGCTCGGGCGGCCCCTCGCCCCCCTCCCGCTCACCAGGACCCCCCTCCTGCTCGGGGGGCTCCCAGAGGCTGCTCTGCTGAGCCCCCCCCTCCATGACATTATCTGCGGGGGGAGAGAGAGAGGGGGGGTCTGGCACCGTGTGCTGGGGGGCCACGACCACATTTGGGGGGCTGTGGCCCCACAGGACACCGTGCCAGGCTCAGGTGGGCTCCCACCCAGGGGGGCTGAGCTTTACTGGGCTGAGCTGTGCCGGGCTGAGCTTTGCCAGGCTGAGCTGTGCCGGGCTGAGCTGTGCCGGGCTGAGCTTTGCCGGGCTGAGCTTTGCCGGGCTGAGCTGTGCCGGGCTGAGCTTTGCCGGGCTGAGCTTTGCCAGGCTGAGCTTTGCAGGGCTGAGCTTTGAAAGGATGAGCTGTGCCAGGCTGAGCTCTGTCAGGCTGAGCTGTGCCAGGCTGAGCTTTGCCGGGCTGAGCTTTGCCGGGCTGAGCTCTGCCGGGCTGAGCTGTGCCGGCGCCCAGCAGAGAAGGAAGCCGAGTGTGGCTCAGCCCAAACAGCTCCTCGGGTCCGGCCAAACCGGTCCTGGCAGCCGCTCCCAGCTCCACCTCACCGCCCTGGCATCCGCGCCCGGGCGGCCGCGCCGGGAGCCGGGGGCGAGGGAGCCGCCGTGGGAACCCCCGGAGCTGGCACTGCCCCCCGAGCTGGCTCCGTGTCCCCACCCACGCCCGGTGCCACCGGGACAGCGCTGCCGGCACCGGGGGCAGCGGGGAGGTGGCGCACGGAGCGCACACGTGGCACCCGCGGTGGCACCCGGTGGCCGCTGCTGCCGGGACACCGGGACACACACCGGGACACCGTGAGGGACAGGGTCCCAGCGGGGCACCGGGCAGAGCCGCGTTAATCATTGAGCCGCTGCCCGTCCCTGTCGCCGCCTCTCGGGGTCCAAGTCCATGGCTGCGCAGGGCTGATGTCACCCCCGTGCCGTCCCTGTCCCCGCCGTGTCCCTGTCCCCATCCCCGCGTCCCACCGGGTTGCTCCATCCGCGCTCCCTGTCCCCGGTCCCCTCCCTCAGCCCCGGGGACAGCCCGGGGTCAGGCAGGGTGGTGCTGCTGGTGGCACACAGCAGGGACAGGGGGATGTGACAGACAGGGCCCTGGGAGCGGGATGCCACCCTGGCACCACCCCCGTGGCCTCAGGTCACCCCGGCGTGAGCCCTGTCCCGCTGGCACTGGCGGGGTGGGGACACTCGGGCTGCCCCGGGGACAATCAGGGGACACAGGGGACATCAGGGCTGTGGGGTGGGGGATGGGAGGGGGTCAGGACCACCGGGGTGGGCCCCAGGGCCAGCAGGGCTGTGGAGCAGGGGGTGCAGGGCCACCGGATTGAGGGTCCCAGGGTGACGGGGCTGAGGGACAGGGTCCCAGGGACACCAGGGTGAGGGACAGGGTCCCAGGGACATCAGGGTGAGGGACAGGGTCCCAGGGACACCAGGACTGAGGAATGGAACCATGGGGATTGAGGGTCCCAGGGTGACGGGGCTGAGGGACAGGGTCCCAGGGACACCAGGGTGAGGGACAGGGTCCCAGGGACACCAGGACTGAGGAATGGAACCATGGGGACACCGAGGTGAGGGGACAGGATTCCAGAGCCAGCAAGATGAGGGGACAGGATCCCAGAGCCAGGAGGGTGAGAGGATGGGATTCCAGGGACACCAGGACTGAGGAATGGAACCATGGGGACACCAGGGTGAGGGGACAGGATCCCAGGGACATCAGGGTGAAGGACAGGATCCCAGGGACATCAGGGCGAGGGGATGGAATTCCAGGGTCACCAGAACTGAGGAATGAAATCCCAGGGTCACCAGGGCTGAGGAACGGACCCCCAGGGCCACCAGGGTGAGGAACGGACCCCCAGGGCCACCAGGACAGGGGACAGCGTGCCGGGACCACCAGGATTAAGCAGCCGGGTCCCCGCTGTGGGCGGGGGTCCCAGACTGAGCTGCCCAGGGCGGCAGGGGAGGCACGGCGGGGTGGCAGAGGAGGAGCAGGGACACCAGGGTGAGGGGACAAGATCCCAGGGACATCGGGGCGAGGGGATGGAATTCCAGGGTCACCAGAACTGAGGAATGAAATCCCAGGGCCACCAGGGCTGAGGGACAGGATCCCAGGGCCACCAGGTGAGGAACGGACCCCCAGGGCCACCAGGACAGGGGACAGCGTGCCGGGACCACCAGGATTAAGCAGCCGGGTCCCCGCTGTGGGCGGGGGTCCCAGACTGAGCTGCCCAGGGCGGCAGGGGAGGCACGGCGGGGTGGCAGAGGAGGAGGAAGAGCGGGAGGAAGGCGGGAAGGAGGGCGGGGAGGGGCGCAGCCGGAGCTCCGGGGTCGCTCCCGGCGGGACGGGAGCAACACCCCGCGATGAAAACGACCCCTCCCCAGCCCCGGGAGCCCCCAGCCCGGCCCCGCTCGTACCTGCAGCTCCCGGCGCGCCGCGGCCCCGTCCCGCCGGACCAGGGATTCCTGTTCTCCCCGGCTTTATCTACCTGCGCCAGCCCCCGCCCCCGCCTGACATCACCCGCCCCGGGGCTGCTGCCCGCCACCGGCCCCCCACCCACCCCCACGGGGGTCCCCCGGACCCGTGGGGGGCGTCCAGCCCCCCTCCCCAAACCCGCCTGCCGCGACCCCCGCGAGGGGGTGATGGGGAGTTTCCCACAATGCAGCGGGGCAGCCGGGGTGGGGGGACACGGGGACACCGCGGTGGCCTGGGGGTGCAGAGCCCCCTGAGCCCCACCCCTGGCACGGCCTCGGGTGGGGGGTTTGGGGCTGGGGCTCCCCTGGGACCCCCCAAAGTTGGGCTGGGAGGGTCCCATGGCGGGCAGGGGGTGTCCCCATTGTCCCCTCAGGTGGGACCATGGGGTTTGGGGGGGTCTTGTGCAGGTCAGGGGCTCTTCCAGGAGGGTTGGGGGCGGAATTTGGGGTATGGGAGCGCAGAGGGATGCGGGGTCCCTTTGGGGCTCTGTGGGTGTCCTGTGGGGTCCCTTGGGGTGTCCCCTGTGGGGTCCCTTGGGGGTGTCTGGGAGTCCCCACCGAGGACTATGGGTGCCATGGGGTCACAGAGTCCCTAAAATGTCCCCACGGAGGGGTCCAGGGGTCCCTGTGGGGGATGCTGAGGGTCCCTGTTGGTCTGTGGGGGGGCTCAGGGCCCTTCAGAACCCCCACAGGGGTTTAGGTGAGGGTCCCACAGAGCAGTGGGGGTTCCGTGGGAACACAGAGCTCCTGTGAGGGGCATTTTCAGTGTCCCCCGGGGGTCATTTTGGGTCCCACGGGGGTCACTGAGGTCACTGTGTGTCTCATGGGGGGTCCCAGGGGTCACTGCAGGTGACACACAGAGTTTGGGTCCCCAGGAGGGGTCACTTTAGGTCACTAGAGGTGCCCTGGAAGTCACTTTGGGGTCACCCGGGGTGTTTTGGGTGCCCCGGGGGTCACCGGGGTCACGGCGGGCCTCCCGGAGGACTCGGAGCAGACGAGACGAGCGGCGGGCGGTGCAGAGCGGCCGGAAGTGGGCGCCTCACGTGACCGCACCCGGAAGCGGCAGCGCGGCGGCACCGGGGGCCATGAGCGGCGGCACCGGGAACGAGACCGGCGACGGGAACGGGCCCGAGCGGCGGGTCTGCATCGTGGTGGAGTATTGGTGAGCGCCGCGGCCGGCCCGGGGGCCCGTGAAGCGAGGGGATCCCGGGGGTGGGAGCGGCCCGGGGTGAGGGAGGCCCACACGGTACCGGGGCACCGGGAGCGCGGACCGGGGGGAATGGGGGGTGAAGGGAGAGGCTGAGGGGGGTATGGAGGGGTTGGGGGGTTTTGGGGGGGCACGCTGAGCCCCGTGTGTGCCCCCAGGTGCCTTTGAGATTGAAATCAACGGGCAGCTGGTGTTCTCCAAGCTGGAGAACGGGGGCTTTCCCTACGAGAAGGACGTGAGTACCCTCCGGGGGTCCTGGGGTGGGCTGGGGGGGCCCCTCTGTGATGTTGTCACCCTCTGGAGCTGTCCCCCCCTCCTGCCACCCTGCCAGGACCCTCTGCGGGTCCTGCTGGGGCAGTGGGAGGGGACAGAGAGGGGGCGTGGCCGGGATTTGTCCCTGTCACCCTGGTGTCTCCCCGCAGCTGATCGAGGCCATCCGCAGAGCCCGCAATGGGGAGCCCCTGGAGAAAATCACCAACAGCCGCCCCCCCTGCGTCATCCTGTAGCCCCCCCAGGGCCAGCAGGCTCCCCCCACGCCTCCCTTAAATCCCTGCACCCCAGGAGCCTCCTGGGGACCCCCACGGGTGGCACTGGGGGTCATGCTGTGGGGTGGGGTGGAATGGGGGGGGTCTCCCACCTGCCTTTGCCTTCCCCCCCTCATCAGCTGCAGCTCCCTGAGGGGCACGGGGGTGGCACCCCCATTTCTCTGTGCTGGGGTGTCCCCTTCCTGACCCCCTGGGAATGTGGGGGGTCTCCCAGGAAGGGGGGAGGCAGCTCCCAGCAGGTTCATTCCAAGGGGAACCCGCTGGCTCTGGCTGGCCTGGGGTCTGTTAATGATTAAAGCCCCCCTGGCACTGTTTAATCCGGGGCAGGGGCTGCCCGTGGGAAGCCCAGGCTGGCCCCACAGCCACAGGGGGGGTCACATCCCCCCTCCCCATTCCCAGCTCCTGCTTCCTGCCTGGAATGTCCCTGCCCGTGGCCGCGGGGCGGGGGGTCCCCTATTTATTCTATACTGTGTATAAACCCAACAGCTGGGTGGAATAAAGGATGGAGAATGTGGCTCCTGTGCTGTCCCGGGAATGGGGGGTGGGACACGGCCCCGGGAGCAGGAATTCTGTCCTTCAGGCAAGTGGGGGAGGGGGGGAAAGGAAAAAGGAGGAGTGGGAGAAGGAAAAGGGGGAGAGGAAGGGAAGGGGGAAGAAGAAGTGGAAAAGGGAATGGAGAAAGGGAAAAGGGGACAGGAAAAGGAATGGAAAGGAAATGGGGAAGGAAAAAGGGGAAAAAAAGAAGGGGAAAGGGAAAGAAAAAGGGAAAAGGGGGAAAGAAAGAAGGGAAAAGGGAAAAAGAGAAGGAAATGGGGAAAAGGAAGGGAAGGGGGAAGAAGTGGAAAAAGGGAATGGAGAAAGGGAAAAGGGGACAGAAAAAGGAATGGAAAAGGGGAAAGGAAATGGGGAAGGAAAAAGGGGAAAAAAAGAAGGGGAAAGGGAAAGAAAAAGGGAAAAGGGGGAAAGAAAGAAGGGAAAAGGGAAAAAGAGAAGGAAATGGGGAAAAGGAAGGGAAGGGGGAAGAAGAAGTGGAAAAGGGAATGGAGAAAGGGAAAAGGACAGAAAAAGGAATGGAAAGGAGGGAGAAGGGGAAAGGAAAGGGGGAAGGAAAGAAGGGAAAAGGAAGGGAAGGGGGAAGAAGAAGTGGAAAAGGGAATGGAGAAAGGGAAAAGGGGACAGAAAAAGGAATGGAAAAGGGGAAAGGAAATGGGGAAGGAAAAGGAAAAAAGGAGGGAAAAGGGGAAGGAAAGAAGGGAAAAGGAAGGGAAGGGGGAAGAAGAAGTGGAAAAGGAATGGAGAAAGGGGAAAGGGGACAGAAAAAGGAGTGGAAAGGAAATGGGGAAGCAAATGGGGGAATAAAAGAAGGGGAAAGGGAAAGAAAAAGGAAAAAAGGAGGGAAAAGGAAGGGAAGGGGGAAGAAGAAGGGGAAAAGGGAATGGAGAAAGGGAAAAGGAATGGAAAGGAGGGAGAAGGGGAAAGGAAATGGGGAAGGAAAAAAGGGAAAGGGAAAGAAAAAGAGGGAAAAAGGAGGGAAAGGGGGAAGGAAAGAAGGGAAAAGGGAAAAAGAGAAGGAAATGGGGAAAAGGAAGGGAAGGGGGAAGAAGTGGAAAAAGGGAATGGAGAAAGGGGACAGAAAAAGGAATGGAAAGGAAATGGGGAAGCATATGGGAAAAAAGAAGGGGAAAGGGAAAGAAAAAGGAAAAAAGGAGGGAAAAGGAAGGGAAGGGAGAAGACGTAGTGGAAAAGGGAATGGAGAAAGGGAAAAGGGGACAGGAAAAGGAATGGAAAGGAAATGGGGAAGGAAAAAGGGGAAAAAAAGAAGGGGAAAGGGAAAGAAAAAGGAAGTGGAAAAGGAATGGAGAAAGGGGAAAGGGGACAGAAAAAGGAGTGGAAAGGAAATGGGGAAGCAAATGGGGGAATAAAAGAAGGGGAAAGGGAAAGAAAAAGGAAAAAAGGAGGGAAAAGGAAGGGAAGGGGGAAGAAGTAGTGGAAAAGGGAATGGAGAAAGGGAAAAGGGGACAGAAAAAGGCATGGAAAAGAGGGGAAAGGGGAAAGGAGATGGGGAAGGAAAAAGGGGAAAAAAGGAAGGGGAAAGGGAAAGAAAAAGAGGGAAAAAGGAGGGAAAAGGGGGAAGGAAAAAGAGAAAAGAAGGGAAAAAGAGAAGGAAAAAGGGAAGGGATATGACCTGTTGGTCCTTGGGAGACAGGGCTGGATCCCACAGAGAAGTAGAAACCAAACAGACCACGGGAGTAGAAAAAACAAGCAATGTACAATTGTCAAATATACATCCCGGTGCTCCCAGAGAGTCCCGGAGCAGCCGGGACTGCTCAGTCCAGCTGCCCTCAGTGCAAGTCCTCGTGTCCCAGGCACGGGGACAGCCCTGGAGTGGGGGCATGGCAGAGGGGCTGTCCCCCTCCAGGCCCTGCTGGCTCCGAGCTCCCTGGGCTGTGCAGCTCGTGGGTGCCCAGTGCCACCCCTGTGTCCCCACTCCGCTGCCGCGCTGTCCCCCAGCGTCCTGGGCTCTGCCAGCCCTCCGTGAGCGGTGCCACCCCCGGGCAGAGGGGTGGGCCCCCAGCCCCACGGCCGTGGCTCGTCCCTCCCTGAGCTGCCTTGGTGAAGTTGGGGGGGTCTCTCTTACACGGCCGTGGCGTCGGGGCCGGCCAGGCCGAGGTACTCGGGGTTCTCGGCCGTGGGCGTCGTGCCAGGGCCACCCTCGGGGCCACCACCCTTGGCAGGGTCCTGGTTCCAGTAGTAGGGGTTGTCGAAGGCCTGGCTGAAGGGGCCAGGGGTGGGCGTGCCGTGGGGTGCCAGGTACTCGGGGTTCTCCACAGCGTGGCCGAAGGGCCCTGGGAAGGAGTTCTTGGGGTCCTTGATGAGCCCGTTCTTGCCCTGGTGCCCCTTGGGCTTGTCCGGCGGGGATGGGGGGTCCCCAGCCTGGTTCACGTACTCTGCAGGGGGAGTGACACGTTAGGGACCCCCCCAGGCGTCATGGGGCAGGCAGGTGCCCCCCAGCACCTCCCCGAGGTCCGGCCATGCCCTCCCTACCTGGCATGGTGCTGTGAGGGGATGGGAGGGTGAAGCACTCGGGGTCCTCTCCGTCCTTGGCCGTCAGCCCCGTGGGATCCTCGCTGTAGCGGGGCAGGGTGCCAGGCTCCCGCCCCGGGGGGCTCTGCAGGGCCACCTTGTCCCCATCTGGCACCTCTGGGACAGGTCCCTCTGGCCCCTCCGCCAGGCCTTGGGCGGGGAAGGAGAACGAGGCCAAACCCTCGCCCTCTTCCACCTTGGCTGGAGACTCCGCCGTGCTCTGGGTGTGGGAGAGGACACAGGCACCTGAGCCCACCCCGAGGACCATCCCAGACGTGGCACGGGGTCACCCCCGTGCCCGTGCCAGCACTGGGAGCTCCCTGCCAGCCCTGCCCGCGTACCCGCATGGAGGAGATGCGGCTGCGGTAGGTGGTGGAGGTGTCGGTGCTGAAGAAGCCGTGGTGAGGCACCAGGTACTCCTCAGCGTCCACCAGGTCGTCCATGTCCTCCTCATCCAGCAGCGCCCGGTAGAAGGTGCTGTCCATGGAGCCGGGCAGCCCCACCAGGTCGTTCTGGGGGGGTCACACTGGTCAGTGCCCGCCGCAGGGCTCTGGTGAGGGGACAGGACCTTGGGGACACGCATACCTGGATGACCACGAAGCGCTGGGGGTCGCGGGCCATGCGGGAGAACTCGGTGACCAGCTCCCTGAACTTGGGCCGGCACTCGGAGTCAATCATCCAGCCTGCAGCACAGCTGGGTGTCACCACGGCCAGGAGCAGGGTGACAGCACGCCCTGTCCCCTCCCTGTCCCCGTGTCCCCTCCCCGTACATTTCACCATGATCATGTAGACGTCGATGGTGCAGATGGGCGGCTGCGGCAGCCGCTCGCCCTTCTCCAGCAGGTCCGGGATCTCCCGGGCGGGGATCCCGTCGTATGGCTTTGCCCCAAACGTCATCAGCTCCCACACGGTGACACCTGGAGGGGACAGGAGTGGGGGTGAGCAGTGCACTGGGACCCCCGAGTCCCCCGGGGTGGGGACGCCCTGACGCACCGTAGCTCCAGACGTCGCTCTGGTGCGTGAAGCGCCGGCGGAGGATGGACTCCAGCGCCATCCACTTGATGGGCACCTGGGACAGGGCAGATGCAGAGGTGAGCAGGACTGGAGGGTGGCTGCCACCAGGGGAGCAGCACTGTCCCTGAGTCCCCAAGCCCCACCTTGCCACCATCAGCGTGGTACTCGGTCTCGTCGATGTCGAGCAGCCGGGCCAGCCCGAAGTCGGTGATCTTGACGTGGTTGGGGCTCTTGACGAGGACGTTGCGAGCGGCCAAGTCCCGGTGCACCAGCCTCACCTCCTCCAGGTAACTCATCCCCTGCAGGTGGCATGTGTCCAGCTGTCCCTGGTCTCCCCAGGACCCCCCCAGAGGTGCCCAGCTGCCCTGTCCTACCTTGGCGATCTGCACACACCAGTTGAGCAGGTCCTGGGAGCCGATGTGGTCCTTGTTCTCCCGCACGTAGTCCAGAAGGCAGCCGTAGGGCATCAGCTGCGTCACCAGCTGCACCGTGGAGGTCAGGCAGATGCCCAGCAGCCGGGACACGTAGGGGCTGCCCACCCCTGCCATCACATAGGCCTCCTGTGGGCAGGAGAGGGGTCAGGGTGGGCAGGGGTTACTGCCAGCCCCGTTCCCCCCAGTGCCAGGGCCACACTCACATCCAGGATCTCCTTGTTGGCTTTGGGCGATGTGTTCTCCCGCAAGACTTTGATGGCCACCGGGATCTTCACGCTCTCCCCATCGGGGATCCAGATGCCCTGAGGTGGGGACAAGCAGGTGAGGGGATGCAGAGCAGGGGGGGTCACGTCCCTCTGTGCTGTCCCCACTCCTCACCTTATAGACGGTGCCAAAAGCACCAGAACCCAAAACTTTCACTTTCTTGAGCTCCGTCTCCTTGAGGATCCTCATCTGGGCTTGGTTGGGGAGGGCCCCGCTGGGCGTCAGTGGCTCCACCAGCTGTGGGGCATGGAGGGGTGAGTGGGGCCGGGCTCCTGATCCCTCCCAGGCACCGAGGGTCCCCTCCTGCCCCCCGGGAGATCCCCACCTCGGTCTCCTGCAGCAGCCGCCGCATCGCGTGCTTGCGCTCCTGCTGCCGCCGGCGCTTGACGCAGATGACGGTGATGAGGAGCAGGACGATGACCAGCAGAGCCCCCACCACGCCGGCGATGATGGACGTCACCTGGCTGCGTGCCAAGAGGCCATCAGCGCGTCCCCATCAGCGTGGGGCACCCCCAGCACCCAGAGTGGCACAACACAGGGACAACCCCTACCTCGGCTTCTGGTCCACGGGACACCCGTCCTCATCCCGGATGGTGCACCTGGGGACACAGGTGTAGCCCCCTGCTGTCAGCAGCCGCCAGCCCCCCCTGACCACCCCCTCCTCAGCTAGGGACCCCCGACTCACGAGTGGGTGCAGTTGGTGGGGCAGAGCTGGCAC